CAACACATGAGCCGACTGTAGTGCACCTAGGGATAGGAGAGGCCAGAGGAGGCAACGATGTGATTGACCCAGAACCCGCTGTACCAGGACCTGGAACGCCTGAACTAGGGGATCAACACAGCCCTGCGAGCCCTCCTCTTGAACCAGAAGTCCCTGTCCCTAACCGCGTCCCGGTTTTTGATTTGTCACAGGACGATGAGATGGAAAACCGGGAATCTCCCCCTACGCCTGCACCTAAAGTCAGCGTCACTGCTGCTACAGTTGCCTCTAATGTCAAGCCTCCTAAAGCCCGTATTGGACGACCTGCAGGACCAGGACTTTTCATCGCCCGCCATACTCAGGCACTAGAAACCACGTATGGAGGACGAGATCAGGGGAGGGGAAGTGATTTCCCTTTCCTGCCCAATGATGGGCAAATTGCGGGGGCGCCCAGATCAGCCAGGGACGCAGCACTCTCATCCTCGGAGACTGAAAGGCCGGAAAGTAAGAAGCCTAAAATATCAGACCCGGTGCCTGATGAACTCTCTGACGCGATGATGGAACATGCTCCCGACCCTGAGCCCATGCCTGCGGCCCACCCGAACTATACCCCCTTGCGCATCCCACGCGGACCTAAACCCGAGCCCAACTGGATGGATGCCCTTATGCAAATCCAGACTAGTCTACAGGACCTACATCAGAAAGCAGATGGGTCTAGGGACGGTCAGGACAGATTGCATGCGGAGATGATTGGGTTGAGGGCTGAATTAGGACAGCAGGACATTCGAACGTCGGCGCTTGAGTCGACCTGCAAGGAGCACACGGAGCTGCATACAGGCACTTTGCAGAGGGTTGCGGAACTCGAGAGACAAGTCAAGGTCTTGACAGAAGCGGATCGGACCCGAGAGAGATCGCCGAGTCGGGGCAGGTCTGTCTTGGACAGAGAGAGAGACAGATCTCCTCGCTCTCCCAGGAGCCCCAGACAGGAGAGAGATCCCGACGAAGACCTCCAAATTGTCATGGGAGGTTGGGTGGAAGCGAAGAAGTCTGATGCAGAGCATGAAGTACGCCAAGTATTCGCGCGCTTGAAGATGGAGGATCGTGTTCGAGAGGTGGTTGCTCCTTATATAAGAGCTAACTTTGTGAGAGTGATCTTGAATTTTCCACCAGGCACGGACACCCTCGCGGCGCAGCGTAATTTCCAGACACAGACGTTGGAGAAACTGAAGGGGACCAAATTCCTTTCGGGGGTTCCGGGGTCCAAAGAGAAACCTCTGTGGATGACGCGGAACAGATCCGTTGAAGACAGGCACAAGATCAGGGCCCTAGTTCAGGTCAAGGAGTTTTACAAGTCTGTGCCCTTTGTTGATGCTAGAGTTAGGGAATTGCCAGAAATCGACTGGAGAGGGAGAGTGTATGTTGGCCGCCACCAGATGGTTGCAGAGGCCTCCCACCTCCCGGATGACGCACACCCGGCAGATATGTATCTCTCGGATAACAGGGGGGATCATACGGGGTGGGTGGTCCTTGCTAACCGTTTTGCAGCTGTCACAGGACACCCACCAGATGCCCTGACCCAACATTGGGAGAAGGGCGCGCACCTACAGATGCGTGCCAACTGACGCCAAGGCCCCCCCCAGATGAGACCGTTTCACTGCATGACATGGAATTTGAGAGGCAAACATTTACAAAATCTTGAGGATGCGTCCGACCTGCTGAACCTAGGTGGGACGGACCTAATTGGATTGCAGGAGCTTGGGGGCTGCTTGGACATCCCCGCGGGCAGATGGGACACCAAGACGGCGTTCCTTCAAGGACAGGAGTACTCCTTTGTGATTGCTTCCCCTTTAGATAGTCATAGGTGCTTGGGGCTCGGCTTCCCCGCACAGTATACCCCAGACGTTGC